AAACAATGCTAGATTACATCTTTGATGGTTCACAGCAGTGGACGTATCAATCACATACAGTACATCAATCTCACCTTCATGTGATTAACTACAATGGTGGCTATACTTTTCCCATTCATTTCCTAACATTCTGTTCTATCCTAGTACCATGTGCAGAATTCCATTATAGGGTTGCAAATATATATTTGAGACCAATTGTTGTGAAGGTCAGCATAGTCCATGGTCTGGCTATGCTAACTGGGGACAAAAGAGTGTTTGGAGCACTTGTGTTGGAAAAACAATTCTACAAATCTAGTTGGGAATGCTACACATAGATCACTTGTTGAAATAGTCCTTTTATTTTCACCCATTTTAAGAGGAGAAAATCAATGATGTGGCAAAAGAAGCAGGGGAAAATATTCAGAGGTCTATTGAGATCATTTTTCCCCTCAGTTTGTTATTACTATGTAAGGGTGATTTGGGAGACCCTACTATTCTCCTAACTGACTCAGTAAAATGTGTGGGCTTGGCTCTCTCCTGCAGGGATTTCATTCCTTACTGCTGCCATGGGAAGTAACTATTCTTCCCACATTTAGCTGTAGCAGAGGTATCACATAACATAATTTAAAGGGGTCCTTTTTAAGGGAGGAATGAATGGACATCTTTGCATGGAATGGTTTAGCAAGCCAAGTGGCAGACACTTGTAATACTAGGTTTATCCAAGAAGTGCAGTATTTGAGAGACCAGAATGCAAACAAGGAATGAGCCTATTACAGCTAAATTGCTTTTCCATCAAAATTAACTTTTTATGTTCTTTTTTGAGACATTTCAGTTTCATTTTTCAAAGCATTAAGGAAGAGTTTCTGAGAAATCACCTAGCTATGTATGACTGAGTACCTCACAAGACCAGGTTCTCAATCTAATTATTATAATTATTATAAATATTACAGTTATTTAACATGTGGTTGAGGCATTTGGCAAATTTTCTACTGAAGCAGTTTTTGTAAAGAAAATTGGATTTTCAATTAAACAAAATTGTCAATGGAAGTGGCTCCTTTTTGCAAAAAAAAAATCAGCTTTTCACTGAAATATCAAAAACGATGTAAAAGATTTTCAAGTTTGGGGTTTTTCAACAACAAAACACATATTTTTCTACAAACCAAAACACCCACAATACTTTCCAACCAGCTACAAGTACAATAACAACTGTGCACCAACCACATATGGCTACCATTGTGCTCGACACTTTATAAACATGTAGAGAATGACAGTCCCTATGCACAAAGAAATAGTGGAGAATTGACCCCAATGCATGTTATTTTACAATGGCTCAGCTCCAGGAAGTCAGCAGGAGACATAGATAAGGATGAACATGAGAAGAAGCAAAAGTAATACAGTAATACAAATGTAGAGGGACAGAGAAAAGATTAAACTTTAAAGAAAGATCTGTAATTACTTACCTTCAGATCTAAATGGAGAATATACTGCTGATGTATGTAGTGGACTCCTTCACATATTTGTTTGGTGAAAAGGATTGCATCCATCTCAGTTAGATGGTAATTTTCATCTGTGATTCGGTCAAATAATTCACCACCATCAACACTAACATATTGACAAAAAAATGTGAATAAAATACACATATTCCTCATTAGATTGGGCATTAGATATCAAGGCACACTGGAAAATCCCTCTAGGTCCCTATCTGCATCTTTAGAAATATAGCCCTTTACTTCTGTTCTGACCCCATGAGGTTCCCGGGGCCCTATGGGGAAGTAAGAATAGGACCTCTGTACCCTTCCAAGCATGTTGTAAGAGATGACTAAAGAGGGTTGGGCATGGGGCTAGCAACCCCATCCTGTAAGAACAAACATATTCTACAAAAACATCAACAATTTCAATGAATAGCAAGCCAGCCTTCCTTGACTAAAAAAAGGCCCTTGAAGAGGGATTACGATGCAGGGCAGCCAAACCCAAAAGGAAGAACAGTTGGAGAAGAGACCTGGATGTGAATGTGCGGAAAACGGGCAAAAGCTGGAGAGAATTAGAAAAGGTGGCTCAAGACAGAGAGACTTGGAAAGAAATTATTGATGGCCTATGCTCCTATAGGAGCTAAGGGCAAAGAAGAAGAAGATCTCTGTCCTGCTACTGTTTTCCACACTACCTCTTGTTCATTCAGCCTGTGGTGTCTCCAAATTACTAGTGGTGCTCACTGCTAGTGGTGCAGAGGCAGCTCCTGACTTTTGGAGCAGCATTAATGAACCTTTCTGTCAAAATTAGTCCTTTTCATTTCTAACTTCTCCAAAACCCACACAGTTTTCTCTCTTTTGCTTCTCTCGGGTTCCTTCTCTCTCAGCTATTTTCTGTTTAACTCTTGTATCTTTGTATAATGTGCTAGATACATTTCATACAGAAAATGCAGCTGTGTTGTATGTATGGGCCAGACCTCCACTAACGAAAAGTAAAACATACTGACACTTTTCTCTTAAAAACAGACCAGTATGAAATCCTTGTGCTCTCTGGGATACAGCTAGTAATCTTACCACTGGTTTAATATTGGCAACTATTTCATTAACTCTTAAAGAGAGTTTGTTTCTAAATGCACATTTTTTTCTTTAGAAAATGAAAGAATCTTTCATTCAAGTTACAAAACACTCAGGCTACGTCTACACTGGCACCCTTTTCCAGAAATGCTTAAAACGGAACAGTTTTTCCGTTATAAGTATTTCCGGAAAAGCGCGTCTACATTGGCAGGATGCTTTTCCGGAAAAGCACTTTTTCCGGAAAAGCGTCCATACCAATGTAGACGCGCTTTTCCGCAAAAAGGCCCCGATCGTCATTTTCGCGATCGGTGCTTTTTTGTGGAAAAGACTAATGTGCTGTCTACACTGGCCCTTTTCTGGAACAGTTTTCCTGGAAAAGGACTTTTGCCCGAACGGGAGCAGCATAGTTTTTCCGGAAAAACAATGACGATTTTACATTAGATCATCATTGCTTTTCCGTAAAAGCAAGCGGCCAGTGTAGACAGCTCGCAGCTTATTCCAGAAATGCGGCTGCTTTTCCTGAATAAGTGGCCCAGTGTAGACACAGCCTCATAGTATCCCCCTCCCCCCCCATCCCATTTCTACTACTGGCTTGAGCAACCACTGAGTTCAAAAGAACTGACAATTCCCCATATCATTGTAACTTACTATTCCATGATCAAGGTGAGGTTGTTCTTGCATTCAAAAGCATCATAAAGCTGGATCAGATTCACATGGTTTAACTGATTCATTATGTTTATTTCATTTTTCACTTCCTCCTGAAACATCACAAACAGGAAGATAAAGCTGTAAATAGCAAAAAGCAAATGCTCCTATTGGAGCATGATCATGAACACTTTTGATTTTGTTATATTTGATACAATGTTCAATGGGAAAATACTTTACCAAGGAAAGGGAAATGTGGGTGTTTTTAATTAGCCAGATTTACAGTGTCTACCCATAGAGATTCATAAAATGATAGTTACCCTTTCCTTTGCTCCTTTCGCTTTTATTATTTTGGCTGCCAGATTAAGACCCGTTGACAACTCTGTGCACTTGTGAACTTGACCAAAGCGCCCCCTGTTGGTACAGAGAAATACATGGTAAAATGGGCTAGAGTAACTTGTTGTAGAAGACTTTCAAGCAACTATTCTTATCATTGATTAAAAATAGCCTGGTACAAAGTGAACAGAATCAGATGATCAGTAGCATGAATCTCCTCTTGCTCCCAGCTTATAAAGGATTAGTTTAATCTTTCCAGCCAGTTGTTCAATTCTTACATTAAAATATTATGCCCCATTTGTATTACTACATTACACAATGACGTGGTAACTTGCTGATATTCTTTGTCGGTTCTGTAACTGTACACTGCTAGTGTCCTTCAGTGATACATTAGTGGAGAATATTAACAAAGATATTTCTGGTCTGATCTCATAACTTTTTAAATAACGTTAAAGCCAATAAGTACAGGGCATGATGTAAATTGTCTCCTGCCTCACCTATACATGCTGAGATCTCTAGAAATGATTTTTAAGAACCATCTCTTCTGCAATTGCATCACCATCAGGCCTAAGCCTATTAGGCCATATTTGTACTTAACTCCATTTGGAAATCATAGTCTCCCAAATAACCAATAAGGGAAGAAAAGTTTAAAGACTGAAGAGAAGTGCTGACCTCATGAGTGAAACCCAGATTCAAAGTCAACATAAGGGTAATTTGAAAATTCAGCCATTAATAACCTGTAATGTGTTGTTCAGCTCTGAAAAACAATTCTAGAAACAACATAAAGGTGTTCTGCATTCAGCAACTCTATGTCAAATCTAATCATTGTACCAATAATGGCCTCGTCTTTTGAAAAAAAAAAAACACCCTCTTCCCCACCCACACATTCCTTTTTCCAAAAGAGCTCTTTCGAAAAAAGGCTTCTTCCTCGTAGAAACTGGTTTACCACTTTTGGAAAAACCCCTGCATTCTTTCAACTTTCTGTCAAAAGAATGCAATTGCAGTGTGGACGTAAGTGTAGTTTTTCCAGAAAAACTTTGCAGTGTAGACATACCCTCAGTGTTCTGTACTGTTATTTAGCTCTAATTTAGCCCTAGATGTCTGCTAAGAGCCCAGTAAGCAGTGGAAGTGTTAGTAATGCTGCTAGACAATATTGACCTCTCATGGTTCAGCAAAATCTCTGGTTCAGCACCCATCAGGTCCTGAGGCTGCCAGACGAGAGAGGTTCAACCTGTATTTTGAAGTCAGCGATTCTCACACATCCCTGGGAAGTTTTCTCCATTGGTCAAACTGCAAGACTGGACAGGATTATGAAGTTATCTGCCAAGTCTGAAATGGTGACTATACAGAGTAGGTAGAACAACACAAATTATAGAAAACTTCAGCGAGCATGAAAGAGAGCTGAAAAAGAGAGAAGAGACCAAGAGATTTTCTTTGAAAATCTGGTCCCACAAGCAAGAGAAGCCAAAAAGGAGGTAAACTGTTATTTGCAAGCCTGATGGGACATTGACAGTTTTGTTTTTATTAAACATTGGGCCACTTTCCAGAGGGAAAGAAGGGCTCTATGAATGGCATGTCCTGCATTTCTCAGAGAGAAGGCATTATAGTCCTCATGGACAGAAACCAGCTGGAGCAGCAAGAAAGATGTTAAAAACCACAATAGAGGTGCTATGGCAGCAAATACATTACAAATTTAAACTCAGTGAGTTGTGAACAATTGAACTACTGGCACAAAGAACGTGAAGAGAAGAACATTTTCAGATGCTTAGATACCACTGCTGGAGACTCGATTACAAGCAAGAGCAATGGGAAATTCTCAGTGATGTGAAGAAATGTCATATAACTGCCATTACTGATTCTCAGGGAGACAAGGGTAAAAATCACAGGTTATAACCAATATTCACTTTAAACTTTTCCATCCATGTGTGGAACACATTTTTTATGTGTAGTGAGGCATGTACAAATGTGCATCACCAGTAGAAAAAAAACTAGCTGTGGGCACTCTGCTAATCAGCTAGGCAGCATTTGAATCTCTCCTGAATAGCCACTCAAGGGCACAGCTTACAAGGAACACTGGTAATAACAGTGGTTCCCAACTGGCGGGCCACAGACTGGTGCTGGGCCATGAAACTCTGGCATGCTGCCTAGCCACACCCATGCCTTCATGATTGGCTCAGCAGGACTCTAGAACAAGGCCCAGTCTGCTCAGAAAACCCCCTTCTCCTCTCCCCAGGGAGATTGTCTCTTCTCCCTGCGCCCAGCTCTGCGTTGGCTTCTCTGCATGACACTGCCTTGATGCAGGGAATGCTGCCCAAACCCAGGGGCAAGAGGGCCCCCCCAAGGGCAGGCCTGCAGCATAGTGGGTTGCTTGCTAGGACCCAGCAGCAGCAACAGGCAGGAGTTCTGGGAGGAGTCCTGGCTGGGGCTGCTGCTGGGCTCCCAGAACCCAGGCTGCAGCCAGGAGAGGGAATCTCCAGCAGGGCCAGTCTCACTGCTCGCTAGGAGCCTCTCCAAGGGCAGCAAGCCCCTGTTTGGCCCAGCGCCTACCCCAGTGTGGGCAGCACTTGGGGAGAAGGTAAGAGAGACCCCTTGCACCTCCGGGGGAGGGTTTGGACCCAGGCTGCTCCCAGTGGAAGTGGCTGTGATCTCTGCCAGGGACCCAGGGAAGCTGCTGCCAACTCCCAGCCTGTGGGGGGCAAGGGGAGCCAGCCTTGGAGGGGGATCAGCAGGGGGAAGAAGAGGGGCAGGGGCAGATAAGGGGGGTGAGGAGGAACAGGGATGTTTAAGGGGGACAGGAGGGGGATGCAGGAGGCACTGATGGGAGGTTGGGGGGATTTAGGGGAGACTTATGAGGCAGATGGGAGCAAGGGTGCAATGGAGGGAAACTCTGAGAGGGGTTACAGGGAAGGAAAGGGGGGATATAGGGAGGTGCTGTGGGAGCAAGAGCATACTGTCTGGGGAACGGAGAGACACAGGGCAGGAGTTGTACAGAAGGGAAGGGGGAGATACAATGGCAGCTGCCCCACAGCATGTGGCAGGAGGCGGAGAGGGCAGAAGTGACTGGTTGTAGCACTTGGGGGCACCAGCTCCCATGCCTTGGACAAAATTTCAGTTGCTAAATAGGGTGCCTCACATACCTCCTGCCCCTGTGGGTCGTCCTGCCCCCCTCTCCCCATCTGTGCAGGCACCAGTCGCCCCTGGGAGAAGGGCTGCCCTACGCAGCAGCCAGAGGGGAATTCTTTCTGTGAATTTTTTTTTAGTGTTGTAGATATCTGAAAACTCTGATCTATTACGACATGTATTGTGTGTGTACAGATGCAATGTAAAATAACACACGACCTCTTAAAATTAATTAACATAATGATATGCAGATATGCAAATAAAATTTTATCGGTCCACCAAAAGTTTGTGAATGGGTTTGCCAGTCCGCAGTATGAAAAAGGGTGGGAACCACTGCTCTATAGGAAGGACAGAGTGGGCAAAAGAGGGCAGGCGGCTGGCTCTCTAGACTGAAGACACCATTATCAAAGTTATTGATAAAGCAGAAACACGGGATCTTGAATGCATATGGATCAATATGCTAATTAACAAAACCCAGGAAGAGTTACTGGTGGAGGTCTGTTATAAACCACCAAGCCAAACCAGAGAACAGGATAAGCACCAAGGCTGAAAGCCACTGTGGGCCTTAGGGCAAGGTGGGGTGGGGAACACCACACCCCCTGGAGAGACAGGGCCTTGTGTGGATAGGGCAGAGCTGGGGGAGGCAGCATTCAGCACCACCCAGACCGTGGCGCATCCTCCTTCCCAGCCGTCAGAACTATGTGGAGCAGCGCTATGGTGCTCCAGCAGCAATTCAAAGGGGCCCAGGTTCTGGCTGCTGCCACAGCAGCTGGGAACCCCAGGCCCCTTTGAATCACCAGGCCCTGGAGCAACTGCCTCTTTCTCCCCCTCCCCACCCGTCAGCAGGCCTGAGGATAAGTTACTGCTTAAGTACTTGTCCATAATGTGTAGAAAGAAACATCATGTTGTTATGGGGAACATCAATTTGGCAGAATATTCTGGAACAATTTTTATAGTGAGGGTGCTGACAACCACTGACCCAAACTGTAAACCCTGTATATAATGGAAACCACTTCAAGCCAGGGGTTTCTGTAACACCCCCTTCCCTGCACTCCTACTTCTTGCACCTATGCCTAGAAGTAAAAAGTCATCATTAGAATTTCCAAAATTAATAGATGATTATTTTCTGACATAACAGATATTGCACCCTCCACGAGGTAATTCTAAGTTGGATGTCATTATGCGGGATAAAGATGAATCAATCACTGCATTTGAAGCTGATGGCAGACTAGGGACTAGTGATCACGACCTGATTATATTCATTAAGGGAAGACAAAGAATAGTCTGGTGCTTCAAAAGAGAAGTTTTCCCAAATTTGAGAAAAAGATTAATGAAACTGATCAGGAGGAAAAGTTTAGACACACAAATGGGAATGAAAACTGGAAGTTCTTTAGGAAGAGTTTATTTTACTGGATGGCCAAAAATCCATGATTCCACAATCAAGTAAGGGGAGAACTTTGGCTAGAAGCTCGTCCAGGTTCCATGGTGAAGTAAGGGCCACAGTTATAAATAAAAAAGCAATGTAAAACAAGTGTAAAAGAGGAGAAACAGATAGCTCTAAATATAAATGATACGTTATGAAATATAGAAAATTAATAAGGAAGCCACAAATGCCAGAATCAATGGGTGGCAGGAGTAAGGACCAGCTGAAGGAGTTTTTTATTAACACAAAAAATCCTAGCAATAATATAGACCCAATACTAGATGCAGAGGGTAAAATTCTTAATAATGATGCAGAAAAGATAGAAGTATTTGATAAATATTTCTGTTGTATTTAGAAAGAAGCAAGATGATGTTCTCTTTTACATAATGATCATAAAGTATCTTTCAGTCCATCAGTAACTAAGGAGGATGTTGGACAACAGCAATTAAAATAGACATTTTTAAATCAGCAGATCTGGATAATTTGCACAGAAGTCCTAAAATAGTTGACACAAGAGATCTCCAGCCCATGCCATTAATGTTTAATAAATCTTGGAATAGTGGGAAATTCCTGAAGGCTGGAAAGGTGATAATAGCTGTGCCATTATCCAAGAAAAAGCAAGCAGGATGACTCAGGTAATTACATGCAAATTAACCTGATATCAGTCCTTGGTAAAACAATAAAAAGATGGTACATGATTCAAGTAATAAAAATTAATGGACAAAAAATGTAATTAATGCCAGTCAACATGGTTTTATGAAAACAGGCTTTATCAAACAAAGCTTATTTCATTCTTTGAGATTCTAAATTTGGTGGATAAAAGTAACTGTTTAGATGTAATACAGTTAGACTTTTATAAGGCAAATGACTTAGCACTGCATGACATGCTGATTAAAAAATTAGTTCCTTGCAATACTAATAGTTCACACTTTCAATGGAGTGAGACCTAGCTAGCTCCCAAGCATTTCTAGAGGAATTCAGTAGTAGGCCAAGACTATTCAATATTTTCATCAATAATCTTGAAGCAAATAGAAAAATCACTGCTCATAAAATGTTTGGATGGCAAAGATTGGTGGGGTGGTACATAACAACGAGAGCACAGCACTCACACAGACACACTGTCTGGATCACTGGTGTCCAGTCACGCAAATGCATTTTGATACATCCAAATGCAAAGTTACACATACAGGAACAAGAAAGGCAGGCCATACACACTGAATAGGGGACTGTGTACTGGAAAGGAGTGATTGAAAAGGAGTTAGGGGTTCTAGTGAACAAGCAACTCGATTTGAGTGCCCAATGTGATTCAATGTCAAAAAGAGCTAATGTGATCCTTTGATGTATAAACATGGGAGTTGTGAGGAAGGAGGTGATTTCACTACTGTCTATAGCACTGGTGAGACCAATACTGAAATACTGCATGCAGTTCTGGTGTCCATGTTTTTTAAAAAACGTGAAAAAAATTGGAGAATAAAGGCTTAGGAGTTTGATCTGTTGAAGCTTAGCAAACAGAAGATTGAGGGGTAATTTGATTACAGTACATAGCTACCTTCGCAAGAAGAAGACATCGGGCATTAAAGGGCAGGTTGGGCTAGCAGAAAATGGAATAACAAATTGCAGTGTCTGGAAGCTAAAACTGGACATTCCAATTAGAAAAAAGGCACACCATTTGAACTATGAGGGTGATTAATCATTGAAACAAACTACCAAGGGAAGTAGCGGCTTCTCCATCTCTTGATAGCTTTAGATCAAGACTGGATGTCTCTCTGGAAGATATGCTTTAGTCAAACAACAGTTACTGCACTCCATATGGGTGAAATGTAAAGGCCTGTGGTATACAGATTGGAGCTGATGATCTCATAATCTGTTCTGGCCTTAAACTTTATGAATATATGTGTTTATCTGGTCACCTATGACCTGCATACTACAGATGTTGCCAAGAGCATCCAATGACAACTATGTATTTGTAGATATTCTGTGGGCAATTGATAACTATAAACATCAATCTCTCTTTTTCTGTGTATTTCAGCTCCTGCAGAGTTGTTGCTAATTGCACCATTCACAGCACAGCATTAAAGAGTGACAGGCTTACCCTCCTAACACTTCATGCCGACACACCGAGTAGCACGTGGTCACATCTGTTTGTTTGATGCTCACTATGCGATGTTCGAAAGGAGCAGGAGGGGGAGGGCTGTCATCTATACAGGAGACAGTTCATTCATTGATTTGGTTTTCCACAAATCACTGCACATTTCTTTCAGCATCCCCACCCCCATTTTTTTCACTCCCTAGGATACAGCTGTATCAAGATGTCAGCCAAGGGCAATCGAATAGGATAGCTAACTATAAACAGACTAGTAGCACCTTGGAAGTGGGAGTATGTCTTTTGACACCTCATTCATTCTACATCTCAACAAAAGTAACGTTCATCATGAACCCACCACCTCAGATATCACTGTCGCTCAGAGAGTCCCCCAAAACCAATCTGACCACTGAGAATGGCACAACCATCGCTTTCTGGAGCAGATGCAAACACAAATGTGATTCTCCCCCGTAATAGAGTTGTTCAGCACAGCTGTGGGGAAGCAGCGTGGATGGGGAAGTATTAGAGGGCAGCCCAAGCACTCAGGATAACTTAGGTCCAGCCAGGCAATTGTTAACAATTTGCTTTTACCAACATTCACAGCAGAATTTAATAAGGCTTCCGTCTTTCACCTCTCCTCTTTATTAGATCCCCCATCCAGAAAAGCACTTGAGCGTATGAATAGCCTCATTGTCTCCAGAGTAGTAGGAGTGAGGCACCTATCAACTCACAACCAGTACTCATTTAGTATCAGGCGAATGCCTCTCTGAGTAGCCACAATTACTGCCATTATCATTGGTTGTAATCAGTTCCAGGGGAGCTGTCCCAATAAAGTTGCTCCTCCAATTTTGCCTGACCCAAATAAAGGCCAAATCCTGAATTCAATTCATGTGTAGAACACCCTTTGACATCACTGGGCATTCTTTGTGCAAATCTAGGGAGAGTCTGGGCCATAGGTACCACTGATTAATTGAATACATGCTCATGGTAAAACAGCTGCACAGTGCATATTACACCTTCAATTCCATTTGTGCATATTTGTGCAGATTTGCATATTTGTCCATTTGTGCATCTTTGCACCCATCAGCCACTACAGTAGAACCCAAATCTTGATCAGCATGTCTGTGGGGGCATGCGCCATCCATTGAAGGCAAAGACTACTCCTGTTCTTGCAGCAACTGGAGAAGTGCTGCCCAGAAAGAGGCTTATGGCCAGTGGGTATAGTGAGGGCCAAGATGAGACCTTTGCTGCAATATTTTACACTCTCTTTGCCTGCTATTATTATTGCCTGGTTTGCACACCCCTTATCTAATGTTCTAATAAAAACTTTTATTCAAAGAAACAAGCTTTAAAAGTATCTCTCCTTTCTCAAATACATACATTTAATCTCATTTTATTTTAAACAGATTATTATTCCCAGACTGCCTTTAAGTAGAATCCAAAAGAACATTTATTCTGAGACTGCCACTGAACAGGAACATTAGAATAAAAAGTCCCATGAATTTGAATACAATTGTTATCTGATGTAGTCAAGTGTATGGTTGGTTCCTGAATAAAAGCTCTCAAACTATGAAGATAGCACTAATGAGCATTATTTTATCTATTATAGTGCATTATATATAGAGGTAGACTAGAATTCTTGGTGTAAAAGTCTTCAGGTATAATTGTGAGCTACTTACCAATAATTACTTCATCCTGCTTGACAAATGCTTTGCTGGCTTCTACTGATGTACTGTTTTCTGGAGTCTTTCCCATACATTGATTTGCATGGTTTCCTTTTTGTCCTGCATATGCGCTTTCTAATTTCGCACATTCTAATTCAGATCTATCATCCTTTGTAGATTCTTTCATTGCCCTTGCTGTTTCTTCCTGGCTTTTCACTGTGGTTCCAACATCTTTTTTGGTATCCTTTTCAGTTGTACTTTGAGAGGACATAGACTTGCAATTTAGCTCTGATCTCTCAAGGGACTTTTTATCAGTCGAGACTTTATTCAACAGCATCTGTGGCTTCCCTAGTTTGGGTGCCTGTTCGTTTTGTTTATTAACAAGCTTTACCCCTTTTACTTCTGGAATAGGGTCAGTTCTGGCATTTGGGTGGCATGGGTTATGTTTAAATTTGTCAGTCAGATGTTTAACTCTTTCAGCTTCTAATGGTGACGAGAAAGCAGATTTTACTTTGGAACTTGTACCTCCATGATCACGTAGGCTTCCTTCGTTGGCCACTTCAATCTTTTGTTGGGTGTCAGTCATCTGCACATTGATGGAAATCCTGCAGAGCAAACATTTCCCTTTTATGCAGATCAATAGCCTTGCTAGATTAGCAGAAAATGTTTGTACACTTTGTTTAAATTCCAGTTCTGTAATAATTTCCCTACTACAAATGTCAGATACTGGCATTGCTATGAATAAAAAGCAAATGCAATACTTCAGCAATACTTATATTGAACATATACAACTACAACATATTGAAGAGCCTCCATTCCCAGAAAAATCTTATTTGAATAGTTATTTTAACATGCTAGATTGTACAGATGTCTGCCCTCTGCTGGACACAAATATTTCATACCCAAGGCTCAAATTTTGTCATGGATATTTAAAAAAAAAATCACAGACAGATCTTGGGCAATAAACAAAAATTCACAGAAGCCTGTGACCTGTCCATGTCTATTACTAAAAATATCTGACAAACGGGAGGGAGGAGAGTCCAGCAGCCACAGCTGCTGGAGGCTCTGGAGTCCCCTTGCCACCTGCCACGGCTGGGCAGTTGTGCAAAGCGGGGCTGGGAAGCTATGGGATCCCCTTGAGGTCCACCATGGCTGGGAGGTTGAGGTCCCCTTGCCATCTGTGGGGGCTGAGAACTCCAGGGTCCCCCTGCTGTAGTCAGGATCTGGGAGCTGCTGGGGGCCTGCCACCAACTGCAGCTGAGAGCTGCAGGCTGCATGCTGACAGTTCCAGCCCTGGGGCACAAAAAGCCCCAGCAGTCTCTGTAATCTCCCTGACATAATCTTAGCCTTAATCATACCTACTCCAGCATTAACCAGAGTCACTGGGTGGGAAGCCTTTGTATTTAGTATTAAACATTGTGGCTGGATTTTTAGAATTATGCGCTAGTTCTTAAAAACCGGGGAGGGTATGTTCTTGGCCCTCTGCCATTAGCTGAGAGCTGAAGTATGAGAATCTGCTTTAGGAATGTAATAAGTGTAGCCAGTTAAACGATTAACCGATAAATAAATGATTAGCAAACCTCCTATGCCCTCCCAGCTCTGCCAGTAAATTTTTTAGTGGGCTGGCTGGCAGCCTTGCTCAGTCCCAGCTCATGCTGAGTCCCTCAAGGCACCCCCTCTGTGGATCAGGACTGAGTCAGGCTGCCAGCCCACAGGCTCTTAAATGACTTTGCGTGCAGAGCCACAGCAGGGTTAGCTCCCGGACCTGGCACAAGCCGGGACTGAGTGCTTGCAGTGCTAACCCTTATCGATTAATCGTGTAGTCAACAAATTTTGTTGATTACATGATTAATGAATTACACGCTTCATTACAGATTAGCATCCCTAATCTGCCTTCCTCGGGCATAATAGAATATTACTCTTCTAACAGTCTGCTATTGAAAATGTTATGTTTTAAACCTAGGGTTCTTTTCACTCCTCTGTTTTGTTAATATTATTTCCTTTAACATTCCTGCCACTGGGAACTTTTAAACATTGTCATTAAGTTTATGTTGTCTGGAGATAATTGAATTATAAAGAACCTGCTATATTCTGAAGTTCTGGCAGAGATATTCATATAAATAATAAACTTAGTAACAACAGTAATAGATCAGGCTCTTCAAGGGAAATTTTGGAATCCCTGTAATTGGGTTTTTTTAAGAATACCTTGGACAAATACCTGTCAGAAATGGGTTAGGTATACTTAATCCTTCCTCACCACTGGGGTGCGGTTTAGATGCCCTCTGATGGTCTCTTCCTGCCATACATTTCTATGTGTACTGCTATTGACTTTAATGGGGCTTCTGGACATCAGTAAGAGCTATGAAGTTGGGCCCTAAGGATTATAAAATTATAAGCAGAGAATGTCTCTGGTATTTAGAAAAGGAAACACCTATCTAGTGTCCTCAAATGTGTTGTACCTTCTGTAACAAAAATGTTGGAGAAAAAAAAACTTTTTCTACCTTTTGCCTAACTAGTCTGTAATTCTGTTCTCACTTTTAGCATCTCACTGTCATTAGAAGCATGATCCCTTTATAATGTATTGAGAATCTGTAGTTCAGTGGTATTGAGCTAAGTAGTCGGCAGATGCCAGCTTAGACCAAACACAGCTATGACTATCTAGAGAAGTCTAAACTTGGCAGGGAATTCTGGGCATTTCTCTAACAATTCCAGGCATTGGAACTCTTGTCTTTTTTATGTCTCTGTACAGACCTATTGACGTCGGTGAGAGCTGCACTCGTGTAACTGAACATAGAATCTGGCCCACTTATTCAGACTTCACATATAAAAAATATCTATATAGGCACTCTGACCAAACAACTCCATGAACAAAGTGTAGGAAGAGTCATGTTCTTTTCACATTGTTATTTATGAATAAAAATGCAGAATAAGTTTTAAAACTGATTTTAAATTAAATTTTGTGTGACATTTTTATATCAAACCAATACAGTTCCTATATACTTTAGACAGTTCTTGTGTTCAAGGGAGAGGTGGGTCTGCTTTGGAATTGTGCTGGAATAATGTCTCTGCAATATTCTTTTACTTAGCCACACAACTGGTTATGACAATGCAAGCTCCCCCTATTCTTCCCTGCTACATCCTTACTCTGGACCACAGCTCAACGTTTATTCTAAGGGTGGCAATTACTGCCATTTGCAGTGGTGGTTTTTCACATGTGGAGCTGTATGTCGTGATAAATAGACCAAGACCACTTCCATTCAGTTTGTTAATGTGGTTCTTCAGTCCCCATATGCTTGTATTACATTCATTTGGGAATACTCCAGTACCTCAAAATACCTGTAAATTGCATAAATAACTAAAGACTACCTAGAGAATAAAGTGCCTGTCTTTTATTTAAGGCACCAGAATGCATTCAAATCCTTTATGTTAAAAGGAACATATTCAAATGCACGCATACAAAAAAGCAGGCATTTTTTTGTCTGTGTTCAAATGCTGATTTGTGCACCTGCACATTGGAATAACTCTGTATTCACAAAAATACATAGGAGCCTACACTGAACATGCACGAAACTTTCAGAGGGATAGCCGAGTTAGTCTGTAACTGGAAAAACTTAAAAAACAACAAATAGTCTTGTAGCACCTTAGAGACTAACAAAAATGTAGATGGCATCATGAGCTTTTGTGAGCATAACCCACTTCTTCAGATGAATGGTCATGCATGGACATGTTTTAATAATTGGACCTCCATTTTCATTATTTTCCACAATATAATTGCAGGTTAAATCACAGAACTTTTCTAAAGTCCTAACTTAATAAAAAGCACAAAAAAGTTGTCAGATACTAAATATATCATATGTTAAAAAGATAAAAAGCTACATTAGAAAGATAAATGTCTGCTTACATCTTTGGATGGCCAATATTTAAAATTGGTTGGGTGATGTGCTTGCAGACCTAACCAAAAATATTGACTTGTTCTGAGGTGGGCAACGGACTATTACACATTGGATTGAACAAGCTGCCTGAGCCCTGAAATTTTTATCAATTCTATCCTCAGTCAATTGCAGACTTTTCTTGCAGATCTATTAAGCCTCGTATATGATATTTATAGAAATATCCATTTATAAAGAAGTCAGCCATTTACAAGGTTCAATGAAATGAGACACAATTAGAGCAAACCCATTTCAAATCTTCTTGACTCAGAACAGATATGTAAGATTAATGATTAGCACTTACCTAGCACTTTCTATCTACAAACATTATCTTTGCATACATTTATAAGCCACAAAGCAGGCTCCAATTCTTCCTCAGATTGGCAGTTTACGTAGTTCCCTATGCTCCTTTTCTAACATGGCTTTTTTTCTACTGTATCACATAAGAGCAAGACTGAATAGCCCTGTTAATAATTTGCCTGTTTTTAACACTTGAAATGTTTCAGATCACATAGCCAATTACTAACTAGATCATTACCTTGTGCATATTGCTTCATGCTCTGTTCTGGATACAGACTTTGACATTGATGGCACAGCTTCCGTGGGTATAGCGGTGAGTGCAGCGGGTTTGTTTTCACTGTCTTTTGATTTCTGATTAACAGATTTTCTGTGATGTTCTTCCAGTCCTGATGCTCTGTCCATATCAGTTGCTTCAGCAGTAACATTCTTGTTCCCCCTAGAGCCATGATTTATGAAGGGAAGACTGCTGTTTGGAATCAAAGCTTTCATTCCAGTGTCTTTTTGTGGTTGGTGATTCTTAGCACTATTTGTTTTGCCAGAACCTGCCATTGTTTGCGGCTGCATTGTCCTTTCTTTAACTTGCAGACTGGAGTCAACTTTGGAGACTACAGCATCGAAAGAGTTTACAGTTTCACCTGCTCCATTTTTTTCATCCAACTTTCCTTCTGTTTTGGGCTCTAAATAAGAAATAGTATTATTCATAATGTCACAGCCTTTCTTTGATACAAAAAAAATATTGCATAGTGGTATAGGTTGCAAAAAATAGGGAAGTTGCTGGGAATATTGGGTATCAAAACCTACCATCATAGTAAAACTAGGAAATGATGCGCATGTGAAAGGGCTAAAAGTCGCACAAAAAATACTTAAGCTTATTAGAAACATATTTGACATTTCTGACACCAGCACATGCAGGTTAATACATTACGTACTTGCATTGCTAGCTTTTCAGCAACAGTAAAAACAGAAGCTGGATTTTTGAATAACTAAAAAAACAAGTCGATTAAAGAGAGACAAAATGGGTGAGGTGATTAATATATTTTATTGGCCCAACTTCAGTTGGTGGAAGGGATGAGCTTTCGAACTCCGCAAAGCCCTTTCTCAGCTCTGGGGAAGGTAACCAGTGTCCAGGCTAAACACAAGGTAGGACAGGTTGTTAAGCATACACATGTTGTGGGGGATGACTTAAAATGACATAGGTAATTACCACTTCTGCAGCCCTAGGGCCACCTGACTGACCTGAGGAAGAGCTCTGCAAAGATCAAAAGGTCCCCCTTCTACCAACAGGAGTCGATGCAAAAAAAGACATTATTTCACCTGCCCTGTCTCTCTCAGACCATGGTACCAAGAGAATCACAACAACACTACAAACAGAACATTGTAAGAGTCAATTGAAGGGCATTCAAGACTGACATGTGGGTCAACATGACACGTGGTTCAGACTCTGAAATCCCAATAGGCTCACCCATCCCAGTATCCATACTCTAGGGAGAAACACTGACGTTGCAAAGTGGGACGCAGAGCTCTGGGAGACACTGACTCTGAGCCCTCCATCTCTTCCTGGAGTTTCTTGACCCCATTGGAGCTATTCCAATAATAGCAACTGTTTTTAATTATTAATGACGGTGCATATAAAGTAAGGGCAGTGTAGAAAAAAAATTACTTCCATTTCCTCCAAGTTTTACTTGTGCAGGCCCTGGAAATCAATGTGATTTTTGTTCAATTTTCAGTCTGTTTAACACTCAGCCCAAGCCCACTGTTGGTGCTTTTGAGTGAGAATTCTGAACAGCACATTCTTTAGTATTTGTTAATTTTTAAGTCAAGAATCCAAGGCAATTTTTGGTCTTGCTCGAAAGGAGTCTCTGGTGACAGATGTGGAGAAGACTCTACCTGACTACTGTTCCCAGTCACATTCACCACCCGTGAACTCCATTGATGGCAACGGATACAATGGATGACAGAAAGGTATGAGGTCTGAATCTGTTTTCTAACCCCACCCCCTCTGACTTGTTGATATCTTCACTGGTCACATGAGAAATTCCCAGTTCAAAACCAAATCTGTATTTCTGCTTCTTCATATGCCTTTTTCCTCTATGATTCTACAAATTTTTCATGTGTTCTTGCAATTGTATCCTTAGTATTTTCCAAACATACATTGCTCTTTTAATTAAACTAAATACAACTGCAAAAGCAACGAAATACAGCATTACCAAACAAAAGTAATGGTTGCTATTCATTTTAATAAAGTACTACTGTTGGATTTGGTTTGGGGGTAGGGTGTAGTTTGTTGGTTTTTTTGTGCTGGTATTAAACATCCAACAAACATTTTTCTGAGTACTTGATAGATCCTGGTACTTAGTCACAACTGGCTAATTCAAAAGAACCTACACATATAGGAAAATATTTGATCTTTTCTTTCTAAGCTATTTCAGATCCCCAGCAGATATGTTTATCATACATACAGGCTTACATATACCTTCCAAAGACTTCTTGCTTTCAGCCTGGGCTCCTCTGTTGCTAGGAACATGCTTTGGTTTTGCACCCTTCTCTTCAGGCTTATCTTTCGTCTAAAAATACATTGAATGCACAATTAATTGTCAAGATTAAATATGTCCATTTCTCATTGGGTCTGTCTAATTCTTTGCCAGTGGAGGCAGTTACATGCTATGAATCTGGCAGTAACAACTCAGCTTCATTGCATTCTCAGTGTGTTACTGCTTCTCTATTTCCCCCACTGCGAGGCTTCCTGGGGGTTCCAGGATTATGAGGCATTTCTCTACAATCTGCCCTTTGCATGAGGAAGTCTTGCTTGGGTCAACTTTCCAACTCTGCTAGCAATCCCCGCTAGTTTTCGCAGGCCCTACTGTCAGGCTACAAGTTAGCAATTGCTACACTCCAACCCTAATGCTCTCTGAATGTCTCCCTTGAGTATCCAGCCCCAGTCCACTGGACATTCACAGAATTTAGATTTAGTGCCTCAAAAGAAACACCACACTTTATTGCCACATCGTCTCTTTGTGACAAACAACCTTTCTTTTGGGAAACCAACATGCTGTGAGCTTGCCTTCTAAGCGAAGGATTCAGTGTGAACAATCCTTTTTCTTTTTTCATAAACAGCACACTCTCCTGCTGTTGGGTTTCATCTTGCAGTTTTTAGTCTCTCATTTCCCCTGTGGCTCAGAATACAAATAGGTATACATTGTGATGCATTCAGTATACGCTACACAAACAACCAGATAGGGAAACAGGTGTCCATTACTTCTTGCCTGAAAGGAACAGTTCCAAAATATGTCACCTCCTGAAGACCTGCCTAAATTCCAAGACCTACAGACAGCATGTTTTAGAGTGGACACATAATTTCTCAATATTATCCATGCATACATTACCAATGATTGCTTTCAGTAGCCACCACATATGCCACCATCCTGTAAAGTATTATGAATATATCTGACTCTATTATATTCCCCGTGTCCTAAGCTAGTTGACATCAAGGGCTCCCTGAGTCACAGCCACAAATTTTAAAAATCTTTTTTCTAAAGCAAAATCTTGTAGAATAACAAATTAACTCATAGGTCTCAAAACATGTTACTTCCCAAGACTATGTCCAGGGTGATTTTTTTTCTTCAATACACAGTTCTACCACATATTTTTAAATATAAGACAGGGGAGGCACAAGATGAAGGAAATATTCATCTCTCCTGGCTACTTGTGGAGAGACAACAGCACAGCTTTACATATTTCATGTTGTTTTACCCAGTAACATCTAAAAGCATCCTCCATTCATTGAGCCACAGTGAATTCACATAGACAGGTGGCTATCCTATTGGGTGCCAGTCTTGCCAAACATTCTCCCATGTGCTCCATCCCATTGATCTGAATCCTGGGTACTAACAAATCTGGATCCAAATCTTTTTTGGCTTGGGTTCATCTCTTTCTCTGGTTGAGGAGAGATCAATCTCAAGTGGGGAATGTGTGTTAAATGCTTTCTGGGTGATACACAATCCTTTCTGTAACAAATGACTCATTGGAACTACGTCCACATCCATGTTCATCCTATCTGTAATATTTAGACAATGATTATGCAGAACACAGGAAAACCACAAAAAGTAGTGAAAAGATATGTATTGGTGGGGAAGATACTAATATTTGAGTCAGAGAAAAGTTAATTTAGAGCAGAGAATTGGTCTCTACTCCTACCCTACTCAACTACTGAATGTGGCAACAAGCAAGGGTTTCTGAACCACCTTAATATTCATATATCCTAGTACATGCCTTTTGAAAATTAGATCTCATTAATATTAGTGTAAGGGGTTATGGTGCTATGAGTGTTGACCTTGTATGCTCCAATGTTGCCTTATAGTATAATAAGCATTATTTTCCTCCCCCTTTCCCTCCCCCCGCTCCACACTAAAAAAGTGTTTAAATGTCATTGTCACTTTTAATTAAAATGCTCAGTATGACTGTGACAACGGTGACATTGTGGAGATTTTTATTCTTGTTGAATCCCCATCCACAAGAGTCTGGAGTGAACCACACACTCCAGCACTGCTTTGTAAGTTAAAAGTCAGATGTTTGAGACTGAAGCTTTCAATTCAGATATAAAATTCAATTTTATGAATTTGAGGCCAACCCTGCAAAGTCTCACACACAAACTGTCCTGCAGAAGTCACTGCATCCTATTTTTGTTTCAATAAACAGCTGCTTACAAAAATAAAAATGTAAGACATTCCCCCTTCATTGAGTCATAAATTCTATGTCCAGAAAGGACCATTGTGATCTTCTAGTTTGATCATCTACACAACAGAGACCAAAACAACTTCCCCAAAATAATTCCATCTTTTAGAAAAACATCCAATCTTGATTTTTAAAAGTTTCAGTTGATAGAGAGTCTAATGGTTAATTGGTTCCAACAGTTAATTACCCTCACCAGTAAAATAAAATGTATACCTTACTTTCAGTACCTTTCTCTACTAAATTGCAGAGCCAGTTATCAAATATTTGTTCCACATGTAAGTACTAATACATTGTAATCAGGTTACTCCTAAACCTTCTCTTAGTTCTGCTAATTAGGTTGAGCTCATTGAATTCATCATTAGAAGGCAAGTTTTCTAATCCTTTAATCATTCTTCTGGCTCTTCTCTGAACCCCCTCCAATTTTTCAACATCAGTCCTGAACACGTACCACACTGGCTAGATTTCTAGAACCACTGCTCTAGTATAAGAGCACTATTATAACAAGATGGGCAGGAAACAGAAACAAGCAAGTAATTGGTTCTTTTTATTTGCAACTATAATGTAATAAAGCCTTCTGGAACCCTTTAGATTTTAAATTAAATTTGTTATATGCCAGTTTTATAAAGTTTACAGCAACAAATAAATGAATGGGTGTTGTTGGTTAATTGTTAGTCATTAAGCTACCCACCTGGCCAACATGTATTTGCTTTCGTATAGTCCACTATAACCACATATGAGCTGTCTCTTGTGCATCACACATCTTTACTGCCTTTTTACAAATCCCTCCTAAAATATCTCTTTCAGAGAATCTAGCAAATAAAGAAATTTTAAAACTAGTTTACTATTCTGAAGTTGTTCTTTACCTGGTTATCTAGTGTACTATGTACCGGTTTGTCCAATTTGTAGAATAAGGCCTATGAGGCAGGATCCTATCTGTCTCCAGGTATCACATAGTATTGCAGGTGATGGTAATAATCATATCTTTAAAAGCGGCGAGGAGTCCTGTGGCATGCATCTGACAAAGTGGGTCTTTGCCCACAAAAGCTTATGCTCCTACACTTCAGTTAGTCTATAAGGTGCCACAGGACTCCTCACCGCTTTTGCAGATTCAGACTAACACGGCTACCCCTCTGATACTTTACATATCTTTAAAGCACATCAATATTTAGAAAGCTTTTTTCATGTCTGCTATTATTGTAACACATTTAAGATGGAACAGATTGCAAGTCCAGTACCATATTAATATCTGACAGGAATTTTCAGTGATCTCAACCCAGTTCCCACTAGAAATTTAATAGACACACACAGATCTCAAAATCTGGTTCAAATGTCAGTCTCCAAAAGAACAGTGGTTCTGCATATCTGTACAGAGATGGACTGTTACAGTTGTATCTGAAAATCTGCACAACAGCCTCCTGATCTATGCTGAGATGTATTACAGTCTTGTTTTTGGAAGAAGTCAAATGCACATTCCACCCATATATTTTACTTATTGTTTTTTTCAAGTTATTTTGATTTGTTTGCCAATATATCATTCAAAGAGTACTCAAATAAGTCCTTTGCAAGAAAAGTAATTCCTAATGAAATAATGTTTTACATCCCTCTTTTTTCCCCTCCCTTGATATGAGACAATGTCTCACATATGCCTCATTGTGTAACTTATTCTTTGTTTCCCTGGAATGGACACAAACAGTAATGAATGATGGCAAACAAGACTCAACATTACAACAGCAGATAAGTCATTATAGGTGCCAGCTCATCTTAAAAAAAAGGCCAATGGCTTTAAAAATAACCTGCTGACACTAGAAACTATTTCCCACACATTATCCTTCATAATTAACAAATGGTTATGAGTTCATGTCCTGCACTCACAGCCCTATTGCTCTGATGGCTGGATGAAATCAATAAAGCTGCAGAGATGTAATTGGGCCCTTGTTCCATTGAAGTCATTGAAACTGTCTGAACATAAATGAGGGAAGATTTTGGCCCTCAATGCCTAAATTGTCTTGGTCCACCATAAAACAGAATCCCAGTAACTTCTAGGGTTTCCAGATAGTTTCACAAAAAATACCGAACATGGGGGAGGGGAGGGGAGGAAAATTGGCTGAGCAGAAAAAAAAAGGCACACACAAAAAAAAGAGTCACAGCGCCTTTAAATCTCCACGCTCCTCCTGCCCCCACCAGATGCGGCATGGGAAGAATGTCCCTAGTGGCCTTCCATCTGAGAAAAACAGAAAATACCAGACATTTTACATGTCTGGTATTTTCTGGGGAGTTTTACCGGACAGAAGCTGCAAATACCATACTGTCCGGGCCAATACCAGACACCTGGCAACCCTAGTCACTTCACGGTACGTTAATTATTTTTTATTCTCATTCTAGAGCTGGATTCCAAAAGCATCTTGAATGTCATTGACATGAGCGTAACAGACAGCAAATTTTGGCCCTTAAATTGTCAACGTCTCAGTACAGAGATCTAGTCTTTACACCTGTTTGAAATCATCCTAGCATGTTTTCTACACTATACCATTCATTCTTATGCCTAATGCTGAGAGAAGAAAGTCTGAATACACACATTCATTATGTAAGAAATTAATGGGAAAGCATAGAGCCTTTCTCCTTAACAAGACAAGGATCATGAACAATAAAATAAAACCAACCTCCACTAGGATTTCAACCAGACTCCCTTTCTTCCAAGGTACAATGCCTCTCAGAATGAAATCCACTACTTGAGAATTTTTGAATGTCTCTCCCACAAATGCAATGACTTTATCCACAGTATCAAACATTTTTTCTATCTCTTCCAGCCTCTCCCTATGTTTTAAAGCATCTTGTTGTGCAGCTCTCATCAGCTTCAACATTTCTGAGCACACACTTTGGGTCTCAGATGGGTGAATATTGTCCCCAGGTTTTAGGCCTCTTTTTGTTGTCTCAGTCTGAGCAGCAGTTGCTTGGGATGCTGTTAGCTTGTCAATGTTCTTTCCAATGTCATCAATGCCTCGGTTCACTTTTTGTAGTGTGCCATTCAGGCCTTCTTGGAAACTCAACAATTTATCTACCTTTTCATTCAAAAGATTCAATTTTTTGTCCAACGTGCTTAAGTTGTTCCGTCTTGCAGGGTGCAACCTAGCCACTGCATTTCCAGCCCCCTCTGCATATTCCATGTTATCCTCAGACATTCTGCCCAGACAACAAGTCAATGGCAGCACAAATTTGATTGGCTCCTCATTAAAGGTGTAAATTAGAGGATGATTCTCTGAAAGCTCCTCTTCCTTAGTCACTTCCTTACCCTACAACCAAGGATGAATTCTTTGGCTTATTAGAGATGAGAGGAGCGCGTCATTGGTCAGCCATTGTGTGAAAAGGTTTCATTTTTGTGTTATCTGTTCCTTACTATGTGCTTTCAAAGAGGGAGTTAATTTGGCAAGGGACTGTTTTTTCTTGGGCCCCCTTGACGTCACAAAACCATTTAAAATTCTTTCTTGAGAGGCTGTTGATAAGCAAGCTTCTTAACAATTGACGATGCCCACAGCAGACCTCTTTGGGGAGGGTGGGGGAGCAGGGAGAATTTTATGCCAAACTTTGTTTTATGCTGTTGAAAAATACCCTTTAAAATATTTCTCTTTTGCTGCAGCAGAGAAGTATAAAAGTGAATTTAGCTGTATTGTGCTAAGGTTGGGGAGATTTTAGCTGGGTAGTGCTTGTGCATAACACCCTGCACAGACGTAAGTTGTGCTCTTTAGGTTGGCTGGCACTTGGACTTAAAAATAGAGCACAATGACAATGATCTGAAATACGTATCTGGCACCAGCACGTCTCTGTCAACTGAAACATCTAAAATTAAATTCTTTCTACAGTGCCATGAAAGTGCACAGTATAAAAAAACCCTACAGTGAGGCATGTCACAATTGCTTTCATAATTGGCAGCAACATAATTAGTCAGGAGTGCTTTATAAAGTGTTTGCTATTGATGCTTTTTTTTTTCTGTGTTGACATCGCAAAACCAGCAATTAGAAGAGAAACATCTGCTTAGGTTCATGGATAGCACCCCCACTCCACCACAGCAGTGCTGAGCTCCTCACAAATAACGAGTTTAACCTCACAGCAGCCCTGTGAGAAATGGAACTACAATTATTCCAGAGTCACAGATGAGGAACTGAGGCACCAACAGCTTAAGCAACAGAGGAAGTGCAAGGAAAAAAGCATTAACCAAACCCAGATCTCCTCAATCTCAGTTTTGTGTGTCAGAGTAACCTTTTCTCTTTTGATACACGAGTTCTGGTCTTTCACACCAACCAATGCTCTATTATCCTTGGGCCTGACCCCAAGGATAATAGAGCAACATAATTCCATTAAAATCATTGAGGCTGGAAGTGCTTAAAACCATTTCAGATATGACTTGGGGAAGAGGGGACAAGGGATAATCTTTTAGGTGAATTAATTTTTTCATGAGAGGTCTTTTTGGAAAGTAAACTCTTCTATTTATCTACAGGAAAGATAAACCAGGAGCAATAACAATAGATGCATCCCCAACTATCTTAACAACATGACACAACCTGTGTTATGGAGGGACCCCCTGTTCAAGTAAGAAAGTAAGTCCATGTGATATGGTGTGTTTGTGATGTCCACTAGGACCTGTAGATACCACAGAAGGATTTTCTGCCAGATAGCCTGGGCTGGATTGAACACCAAGGCTATGTCTAGACTACATGGCTCCTTTCGACAGAGCCATGTAAAATAGTTTATTCGGCATAGTCAAAGAAGTGGGGATGTAAATAATCCCCGCTTCATTAAAATAAAAATGGCCGCCAGTCTAGACACAGCGCGGTCGACAAAGGAAGTCTTTGTTGACCGCTCCGGTATGCCTCCTTTGTCGACCGCACTGCATCTAGACTGCCGCACTGTGCCGGATCAGCTGATCGTCGGCACAGTGCGGCGGCCATTTTTATTTTAATGAAGCGGGGATTATTTACATCCCCACTTCTTTGACTATGCCGAATAAACTATTTTACATGGTTCCGTCGACGGAGCCATGTAGTCTAGACATAGCCCAGAATAAGACATTGTGTGAACGTGCTCCTTTGAAAGTCTATGGGAGTTTTACTATTGATTTCAGCAGTCAGGATTTTACTGTTTCCAGTCCTGATCAAGCTGCTCCCACCCCACACACATTATTTTTTCACTGTAGTCTGCAATGATATGGAATAAGGCAACAATTTAGTATGTAATGGAGTTTTCCCCTGAATCGCATGAGCGCCTCACTGTTTGACAAAGGTCTCAGTCTCTGACATCATGAGGCACGGCAAATCAGAAAAGCAATAAAGTCTAGCTTAGCGGCACAAAGAAATTTGCACAGCACAGTGCATTCCTATAGTATGTTTGACTTCAGTTAGTGATGTCAACATCGCACTTGCAAGAGGACACCTAGGCTACGTCTACACTGCGGCACTATTTTGGGATACTGGAGGTATCCTGAAATAACTATCCCATGTCTTAACAGTGCACCCATTATTTCAAAATATAATGGGCTTGCTATTCTGACATCCCTATAAACTTCATTCCATGAGGATTAAGGGATATTTCAGAATAGTAGGTTATTTTGAAATTTGGTGCTGTGTAGACAGCGCCAAATTAGAAATAAACTATTTCAAAATTGACTTGACATAAGCTACACAATTTGCATAGCTCAAATTGCATAGTTTATTTCGAGTTACGGGCACAGTGTAGATGCACCCTTACAATTTAAAATGAGGGTAATAATTAGAGTGAAATAACTGCAGAGGAAGTTGGAATTTTACTGACTATGGTATATTTTTCTATGACTAATCAGTCAGATTCCAGAATCACCTACTTTCCAATCAAACCCACCTTTTGAATTCACTTTAAATATTTATGATGTGAAAATTTCATCTCCCAATATGAGTCAAGTCAGTTTCCAAGAGCAATTAAAATGGATGTTTAAAATGATACACTATAAAGTACCTACAAATCTAATTATGAGATTGTTTTAATTTAGTGATAGTGCAAGAAAAATTTATTCTATGGTGAAAAAAACAAAAATAGGACTTACAGGTATACACACCATCAACTCCCAATGCCATTAACTGAAGTTACATAACAAAAGAGTTTGCAATTCTATTTGTTAATGTAATCATGCTGTTCAAGCAACAGAGCCTCAGAAAATCAAAGCCCAAACCGTAACTTAATCATCACATTTAAATGTTGTCATATTGATTTTCGTGTCTTTATTATTTTTTTTTTAAATAACCAAAGACTGGAAAGAGAACATAATGATTAATGAACAAAGTTGTTTTGTTCACGGGTCAAAGAAAAAAGCAATTAAGTTCAATACCATACTCCCAGCAGACATTTTTACTGTTACTAGATAAAAACACACAGAAGTAAGAAAAGCTTCTTCTTTTGTTCAAATAAGGGGTTGCTATAGTTCCCTTAACTGAGGTGACATTAAAGTTACCAATGGAAGTATGATTTAGCTCCAATCTAAAGTAAATACTGTGACAGAGCTCCTTAGCCACGATGGTGGGTCCCACGCTTTTGGGTAGATTGGTCATCTCAGAGGCTCACAGCAGCTCTTGGTTTAGACTCTTTCCTTAGGGTGCAAACTGTACACTTATTTAGCTACTTTCACCATTGGCTATCACAGCACAGGGGAGAGAGAAGAGAACAAACTCCATAATCTCTGCTGCCCCTCACTGTGGTTTAGGGACAGAACAGACCCTTTTCCAAATTGGTCTTTCTCCAATGGTGCATCCCACTATCCAGATCAACTCTCCCATGGTGAATAGGGAGTTGGAGATGGAGGAAACCCCGTCCTGTCCTCTACTCTGGATTCCAGCCTATGGACCCTGTGATAGCAGCTATCTATAATGTCACCAGTATTAGCTGCATGACAGCTACAATTCCCTGTGCCATTTTCCCAGCCATTGGCCCTTCTTCCTGGTATCTAAGGGTATGTCTACACTACCACCCTAGTTCGAACTAGGGTGGTAATGTAGGCAACCGGAGTTGCAAATGAAGCCCGGGATTTGAATTTCCCGGGCTTCATTTGCATATTGCCGGGCGCCACCATATTGCATAGGCTTCCTATTCCGAACTACCGTTACTCCTTGTTCCACGGCACGAGGAGTAACGGTAGTTCGGAATAGGAAGCCTAGTCCGAACTACCTAGTCCGTGCCGCGTGTAGCCGCGCGGCACGGAGTCCGCACTAGCGGACATTTAAAAATGGCGGTGCCCGGCAATATGCAAATGAAGCCCAGGAAATTCAAATCCTGGGCTTCATTTGCAACTCCGGTTGCCTACATTACCACCTTAGTTCGAACTAGGGTGGTAGTGTAGACATACCCTAACAGTGATTGTTCCTCCAAGACTTTCCATGGCATCTTCTCATCACCATCTCCAGCCCCTAAGCACACAGTGAACTAATGTAACACCAACAGGCAGAACCAAACTAGGGACCTCGAGCTTAGCACATGAGCCTCTGCCAGTGCAGCCATAAAGCCAGCCAGCTAAGGCTATTGGACATACTCATTCTTTCTCTCTTCCTGAAGAACGGCTCTTGCACAAGAGGTGGTTTTTGAGCATAAAGGAGCTGTCTACACACCTCCTTTTTGTGCAAAAGCCTCTTGTGCAAAAGCAGCTGCTAATTACTTATCAAATGAAGCGTGGCGAAATTCCACACTGCACTTCATTTGTATAAGCTTTTCTGGAAGAAGACTACAGTGTAGACGTAGCCTGTAAGTGATCTCAATGCAACCACATGAGACAGTGAAGCACACCCAATAGGTGTGTGGATTGTACTAGCAGAAGGGAAACATTTTTAACCAATACCAGCTGGTTCTTAATTGGCTCCACGTGCCCTGATCAGCCTATCTGAAGTGGTTCTAGAAAGTTCCTGATTCACTTCAGGTGTCTTAATTGGCCTGTCTGCCTTAATTGCTGGATTAGCCTTTTTAATTTTACCCAAGAAAAGGAAACTCATTTAATCTGGAGCTAATATCTTTCCCCCCACTTCTCTCCTATGTCCCTCAATGCCTTCCCTAGTGGGCACTGTCCAGGACTCTCTGCTCAGTGTCCCCTTCCGGTTCCTTTGTTTTGGCACTTGACCTTCACACCTAGCCCTGTTTTTCTTTCTGTTTGTCTCTGGTAATCAATTGGATTCCATGGTTCAGTGGATCCTCTCCGTAGGCTGGGGGAGAGTCCTTCAGATGTGGGTGGGTGCTTCCTGGTGTCCAATAGGTCTACTTTCCTGTATCCCTCAATGCCTTCAAGGAGCAGTAGGTGCTGCCCAGGGCTCTCTTCCTGGTATCCACTTCTAGTTCCCTTGTT